CCTTCTCCAGGGACTGGTCTCTCCTCCCAATATGTCCCCAGTATGTAAGGAAGTCTTGCCACCCTTGCCTCTAAGGAGCACTCTGGCCGTACTTCTTCTAAGACAGATTGGTCTGTCCTTTTAGAAGTCCACGCTACTTTCCGTATTCTTCACCAGCACCTATTGTTGCAGCCACTCATTGGGGGTCTTCCCCTTTTTCACTGCCCCTCCGCTTTACCAAACATGATGTCCTTTTCCCGCGGCTGGCCTCTCCCCACAACATGTCCAAAGTACTTCAGACTTGATTAAAAAATTTTTTTAGATATGATTGGATTCTATTGACTAGGATTTTGTTACTTTTGCATCTGTGTTCATGAAAGATCTTTATTTTTTTTTTAAGTGATGTATCTGCCTAGTTTGGGTATCAACATTATGTTCAAGTCATAAAATGGATGCAGGAGGTTCTGAGAATGATGTACAAGTGCGCTTTGCACAATTGATGTGTGTATGGATTGCGATAACAGTTGTATGAGCCCCTAATAAAATGTTTAAAAAAAAATGGATGCAGGCAGTCCGCCACCTTTTTCAGGATTCGGGAGTAGTTTGGAGGACGGTGGGTGTCAGCTCCTCTCCGAGAACTGAGTAGAATTCACCAGCGAGGCTCTCAGAGCCTTGCGTTTTGTTGTTAGGAGTTCTTCCTGGATCTGCTCCGTTGTTCCTTTTGCTGTGGGTCTTTTCGGGTTTCCTACTGCAGTCCCACTGCACCTAACCACCGCCCTCTGTTACTCTTCATAGACACCTCCAAGCTCACTGCTTCAGGCTCTTTCCCGGCCTTCTCTGTCTCTGACATCCTAGTAGCAATCTTCTGGATTTCTGTTGGCTGTTTTTCTACTTTTTCATTTATTTTGTCAGTTTGCTCTTGGATGATTTTCTCATTCTTCTTTTCTGGGTTTCCTTGATTTCCCCTGCAGCTTTCTCAAACGTTCTCACAGTCTTTCGAAGGAGTCTAACTACGGTTTTTAAAATCCTTGTCAGGTAGGTCCACCGCCCTTTCTTTTAGCTCTGGTCACTTCTGTTAAGCATTCTGTCTAGTTTCTTTGCAAGGTGGCAGTGGTGTATTTGAATGTTAATTGGGGATTGTATGCTGGTGAGACCTTCACCACTGTGAAGAGAATGTGAGTATGTGTAAGGGTCCCGTCTGCTATTCATGTGGTACACTTGCGTGCTTCCAGCTACCTGTCATTGATCATCGGCTTAGGAGTGAGTAGTGGTCCATACCCAGTAGGAGGCATCGGTATGGCTGGAGGGATGGGTGTGGCTGGGCCACATGGACACAGTTGCTGTCTCCCATTGGGTGAGAAAATAAAACAAAAACAAATAATAGCCAAGAAGAGGGGTAGGGCCTGGGGGAACAAGCAGGAAAAACAGGCAAACAACTGAGAACAAAGAGTTTAATCAACTAAATAAAATTTTTAAAAAAAGATTGTAAAGGAAAAGGGTAGAGAGAAAACATAATAAACAAACAAGAAATGTGAGAAAGCAAGATGTGTTAGTCCGGGTAGACTAGAGAAACAAATCCAGAGACAGTCATGCGTATAAGAAAGAGCTTTATATAAAAGAGCAATTGTATATTGAGAAAACATCCCAGCCCAGATCAAGTCCATAAATCCAATATTAGCCCGTATGTCCGATACCAATCTATAAATTCCTGTTCAGACTCCTGCAAAACATGCAATGACATCAAAGGCAGGAAGAAAATCACAGGCCGGTGGGTGGAAAGCCTTGTGGATCCCGTGGCGGTGGAAGCCTCTCAGCACTGGCGTGGTCTCCACGTGGCTCCTCCAGCCCCGGGCTCTGGCTGTGTCAGAGTAGCACATCTGGTTTGTCTGCGCTCCAGTGCACTATTTATCTCCCTCCAGCCTCCAAATGAGGTCATCACGCTGCAACCTGATTGACAGGCTAGACTCCACCCCTTTACAAGTTGACAGGGGATTATGTAACTGCCACACAAGAGATGAAGAGAATAATAAAGAAAAAGGAGTCAGATAAAAGGAGAACCAGGAAAGGGAAGAGAAAGAGCCAAGAAAGAATTAAAACAAGGAAAGGGAACCAGGAGATCAGGGTTCAAGGTCGGGCCCTCACAGCAACCTAGTGCCACCTTCTCTTTCTTGCCCTCTGTTCAGCTGTGCTGCTGTACACCTGGGGACAGAATGCATTTTCCTTGTTGCTGTATGGGGCGACCATGAGGATGGGAGCCTGCGGAGGGACAAAGCTGTGAGCCAGGGGGTCCTGTCGGGTCTGAGGGCACAGGTGCTGTCCCGCCCCAGGCCAGGGAGCTGAACCAGGACCCTACTTCAGAATCCCTCTTAACTCTCTGCCCTGCAGCGGTGGCCTCCAGCCCTTCCATCATGCACTTCCTGGAAAAGGCTTTGAGCCAATCCCCTCATCAAATGTAGATTTACACTTTTCCTATGGATAACTGCTGCGCCGATATGTCCTGTACATTATCAAACCTATGTAGTGGCATATTTAAGAGCCGTGATCAAAGATAAATAAGCATAGGTGTAAGGCGGGAACCTATGGGAGAAGGAAAACTTCGATTTTTCCACTCACGTGAGTGCCTGGAAAGTGGTCCCGACCTGCGAGGCCGGGCCGCCCCAGCGGATTCCAGCCTGGCTGTATTGTGGTAAACTCCCTGCCATCAAGTCGGTTCCAGCTCCGAGCAACCCCGCAGGACAGAGTAGAAGTGCCTCTGTGGGTTCCTGAGACGAATGCTTCACGGGAGTAGAGCAACGCCTCTCACGTGTTTTTTCCCCACACTCACTCTGGAGTCACTGCCCCTCCCAGTGTGTGCTGTGGGAGGAGGCGTGTCTGGGTTGGACTGAAACAATGGTGTCTGCAGACAACGGTGGGAAGGCCAGAGATGCAGAATTTAGATAACAGAAATCTCTACCCCCTCCCCCCCCAGGCATTCTGGAGGTCCTGCCTTTTGACTGTGGCCCCGCAGGCCTGGGCACCCTCCCCCGGGCCTGTCTTCTTGTGTTTCTTTTGCCAACATTGTTGAGAACAGGTGAGCACGCAGCAGAGCAGACACCAGCTGGACAGTCGCCACCACTTGGTGACAAGGATGCCGCTGAATTGTACAACCATGCTCGCCCTCCTGGTCAGGGTTGTTCCTCCCCCAAGTACTGAGGCTCACAGTCCCCTACAGCTCCTAGCTCATTTTTCCGGCTGTAGTTGTCTGCTGTAGACTGATCTTAAAAGAGCACAAAGCTCAGTGCAGGCTAATGGAGTCTGGTTTCAAGCAGAGGGCATGGGATGTTTATGGTTGAAGGTTTAATGTTTATCTCATGCCAGAAGTTTCAGGGGTTCTCCCAGCCGCTATGGCACCAGAAAGTCTAGATTCCATGAGACTTTGGAAGTCTGTTCTGTACCATCCCTGTTTTGATCAGGAGCCTCCTAAAGAGTCTTTGGTCCAAATATGCAGGAGTGGTAGCCGGGCACCCTTCAGTTCTTCTGGTCTCGTGACGAAGGAGGTACTTGTTCCTGGAGGCAGTGAGCCACCCATTCCATTTTCTGCTCCGATTCCTGGCTGTCCTACCTGCCTTGTTCCAGGCATCTAGAGACCCAATGAGTGTGCCTTGGATACCCACCTGCAAGCCTTTAGGATCCCAGGTATCATGCAAGGGACCAGGAGGTAGACCAGAAACACCAAGCATGTTTTCAGGCCAATTCATTGGGGTGTCCGTGAAACCATGTCCCTAAACCTCCAAGCAGCCTTCAGTGGAGATGAGGGGAACAAGGAAAAGGCTAGGATAGTGGCATGGGACAATGGGAACGTTAGCCACCATCTGGACCTCAGCTGCCTCGTGTGCGCAGTGCTGTTCATCATCTTTGGGGAAAAACAACAGTTTGTGGAGTCCATTCTGACTCATAGCAACCCTACAGGACAGAGGAGAACTCCGTGGGTTTCCGAGACTGTAATGCTTTATGGGAGCAGAAAGCCTCATCTTTCTCCCTCAAAGCTTCTGGTGGTTTTGAACTGCCGACCTTACAGTCAGCAACTCAGTGCACAACCCACTGTACTACCAGGGCTTTTGTGATCGATTGCTGGGTAACAAATTATCCCAAGACTCGGTAGCTTTAGAATAGCACACATTAATGCTCTCACTTATTCCTATGAGCCAGGAGTCTGCGTGCAGGTCCGCAGGGTGCCCCTGCCTAAGGTCTCTCACAGGATGCAGTCAAGGTGTTAGGGCTGAGGTCTCATCCGCAGGCTCCCCTGCGGGCAGGTGCACGTCCAAGCTCACCTGTGTGGTGGTTGGCAGATCCCCTGCCTGGCAGGCTCAGTTCCTTGTCACATGGGCCTCACCCATTGCTGTCCAGTAGGCTAGACTCTCGGCCACCTCATGTATGTCCAAGCTGGGGGAGCAGGTCCTCAGGCTTTTCTAGGAAGGCAGACTCCACCAGCTGGCCTCCATCAGAGTGACTGAGGGAGAGGAGGAGGCCGGGCAGGCCAGCCAGAGGGAAGCCATGGTCTCTTTGTAACCTCGTCGTAAGTGGTATCGTCACTTGCACCGTGCTCTGTGGGAAGCAAGGCAGTGGGCCCAACCCTCACTCCAGGGGAGGGGTCTGCACACAGAAGCAAATACCAGGAGGCTGAGTGAGTTTTCATGTGCTTTTACCACAGAAATACCACAAGGGGATGGCATTCGTGAGCAGAAGTAATTATCTCGTTGTTTGCTGCTCTTTGGGTGCCACCACGAGTCGAGTTGCCATCAACTCACTCACCATGGGTTTGGCGAGTCTTTGGTTCCCAGGGCAGAGGAAGGAATCCATTGTCACACACACACACACACACTCTCTCTCTCTCTCTCTCTCTCTCTCCCCCTCTCCTCCTTCGCGATGGCCTCCCCTCTGAAACACCTGCCTGCTGATGTCCAGGGTGGAGAGCCCTGGGCAGGCAGGCAGACGGGCCGGGCACCCCGTCCTGTCTCACCCTTGCTTCCCCCATCCCCCAGGTCTTCTCCATCGTGGTGTTCGGCTCCATCGTGAACGAGGGCTACCTCAACAGCGTCTCCAAGGGCGAGGAGTTCTGCATCTACAATCGCAACCCCAGTGCCTGCAGCTACGGGGTGACAGTGGGAGTGCTGGCCTTCCTCACCTGCGTGCTCTACCTGGCCCTGGACGTGTACTTCCCCCAGATCAGCAGCGTCAAGGATCGCAAGAAGGCTGTCCTGTCTGACATCGGTGTCTCGGGTGAGACCCCACCCAGTAGGCGGGCATCCCCACAGCAGGGGGTGGGATCTGCCAGTCCTCACACTTCCACACTTGGGAGGTGGGTGCACGGACAGACTCGGGTTGCGTGGTTGGCCACAAGCAAGCTGCAGGGATGGGTGGGACCAGGCAGGAATACAGACCCCACAAAAGCTCCTGGCTTCATGGGGGTGCAGGGGCAGAGGACACAGTGGAATCGGACCTGTGCCACATTCAGGGCCAGCGCCTGGTTCCCCTGGGCTCTATGGTCCTGCCTGGTGGTCTCCCATGAGTACCCTGGCACACAGCCTGCCTAGGGGTTCAGGCAGAGCCTGGGACTGATTTTTGCCCTCCAGAAACAGCCTTGGATGGCCGGACATCTTGCTCTCTGCCCCCAGGAGCTCCCCAGGAATCACTGCTAGATGTCTCGTGTGGGTGGGGCTGTCAGGACTTGGGGTGTCTGTCCAGGTCTGGGCCTTTTAGGACGAGTCTGGTTGACAGCAGACCAGGAGGCCCAGCCCCCCATGAACCCCTCCTCGGGGCACATTGCCCCTCAGCCCCCTGTTGCCAATGAGGAGCTGGGTCTCTGCCAATTCCTTCCAGTTGGACAGAGCAGAACCCCAAGCCGTGTTAGCAGAAGCCCAAGCCGTGTCTGTAAGGTTATTCCCTCACTGGCCTGAGCTCCTCCTGCCTGATGGGTGGGAGCAGGCGCCACAACCCCATGGTTGGGGCAGGCTTGTCCTCTGGGCCTCAGCCTGGCACACGTCTCTCTGCAGGTCACAGAGCTGTGTCCCATGGCGGCCCAGGGCCTCTGGGAGGTGGACAGGGCCCCAGAGTAGCTCTGGCCCTAGCTGGGTGGGTGGGCCTTAGTCACTCCCACTCCCACTATTCATATGTTCCCCCCTCCCCCCCACATACACACACTGTGTTAAAACCGGAGGACCTAGAGTCATGGCCCAGGGCCCCAGGTTGAGCTGCCCCTCCCTCCACCGGGGTGGGGGTGGGGGGCTGCAGGCTAGTCTAGCAGGGTAGGTGAGCTGAAGCCTCAGCTGACTGGCCCTTCTCTTTCTCTCCTTCCTCCCTCACTGCATGGCCCCTCCCGGTGTCTCTTGCACCTCACTGATGCCCCTTCTCCACCTCCTTGGCCTCTCCTCTGGGCGGGGACCTACTATGGACTTCTCCTGATCCCTTGCCTCCCCCTCCAACCCCGACACCCCCTCCCCATCCCACCTCGGTCGGCACGCATGGCCCTATGGACACCCCAGCCTTCTGGGCCTTCCTCTGGTTTGTGGGCTTCTGCTACCTGGCCAACCAGTGGCAGGTCTCCAAGCCCGAGGACAACCCTCTGAACGAAAGGACAGACGCTGCCCGGGCGGCCATCGCCTTCTCCTTCTTCTCCATCTTCACCTGGGTGAGTGTAGCTGCCCAGCTGCCTCCAGTCAAGGCCCTGGGTGGGAGGCTGCCCTCTTCATCCATCTGCCCAGTGTGGTGGGCAGGTTGTCACAGGATGCCTGCCCTGGGGAAGGAGATCACTGCTCACAAGGACAGCCTTGCGTTGACAGCAGACCCCGCTTCGCTACAGAGCAGGGTACCCACTTCCTGTGGACCGTGGACATCCAAAACCACTCCAAGTGGTTGGTATTTATGATCTTTTTTTACATTGGGCTGCTAACCACAAGGTTGGCAGTTCAATTCCGCCAGCCGCTCCAGGGGTGAAAGATAAGGTTGTCTGCCCCCATAGAGAGAGATGTACAGCTTGAGGAACCCCAGGGAGCAATTCTACCCTGTTCTACAGGGTCACTGTAAGTCTTTGTGGACTGACTCAGTGGCAGGGGGATTAATTTTTTTTTCTAATCATTTTATTAAGGGCTCATAGAACTCATCACAATCCATACATACATCAATTGTGTAAAACGCATTTGTACATTCATTGCCCTCATCATTCTGAAAACATTTCCTCTCCACTTAAGCAAGGGGATTAATTTTTGAGGGAGGCCTGGCCAGGAAACGGAAGTCTTCCAAGATTCCAGGAGCTCATGCCCTGGAGTGAGGCGGCCTCCATGTACCCATCTGTAACCTAGGGGAGGTTGGTTTGGGGTGAGTGCAGGTCGCAGGCTCAGACAAGACAGGTGGGTAGGTGGGACAGGCCAGTGTCTTAACCATCCAGGGAGGGCACCCTCTGCTCACCTCTGGGTGGCAACAGAAACGGGGGTACAGAGAAGCCAGAATGTGAATTGCTCTGTGAATCTGATCTCTGGCACTGTATTCCCATGGAAAGTCAAAGGAGCCTGCTGGCACGGAGCCCACCTCCGCAGCCCACGCCGCCTGCTGGCTGGGTCTGGCCTTGGCGGTGTTTCACCTCACCTGACTCCCACCCTCAGACCCCGCCTCTTCCCCCGGTTGAGCGCCGGGCCCACCCGGGAGGTTTCTTTCTTTCCTCGGAAGCCCCTAGATTTCTATTGTCCTCTGTCACCCCCGTCCCCCAGTACCTTCTTAGGAGCTAGAAAACCGGGAGCGCCAGGTGGTTCTGTTGTGGTCTAGCCCCCCAGGTGACACCAGCGGACCACACCCCTGAGAAGGTCCCGCCCAGCCCCCGCTGGAGGCTACGAGAGCAGCGCCCGCCCCCACCCCTCCCATGTGGGCGCGGCACCGACTCCCAAGCTGGGGAGTGATTGGACACCATATTCACGGGGGTGGGTCTCAGGACCTTGAGTGACAGGCCTCTGCCCCGCCCCTGACGCCCCCCGCGGCGGCGCTTCCGTCGCCCCACCCCGCTCTCTCTCGGCAGAGCCTGAGCGCAGCCCTGGCCGTGCGGCGATTCAAGGACCTCTCCTACCAGGAGGAGTACAACACGCTGTTTCCCGCCGCCGCCCAGCCTTAGGCCGCGGCGCCCGGGGCCCGGTGTCCCCTCCAGGGCCGGTTGTGGGGCCGCCCTAGTGCCCCAGATACCCCCAGAGAGCCGAGCGGGCCCAGACACCCGGCCTGGAGGGCTGGCTTGGCGGCCACGCCCCGTCTTCATTGCCGGCTTGTTCTCCTTACGTTTGTTCGTTCAGTAAACATTTATTGAGCAGCCGGTGTGTGCCCTGTGGTGAATCACATGGGGTCCCGGGCCCAGGAGCCCTCAGGCTGGTGAAGGGGAGACTGGTCTGCCAAGTCTCCCAAGAGGGGAGAGGCCGGGAAGAGGGCTGGAGGGAACTCCACGCCCAGGCTCCCAGGAGGGTCAGAGAGCCCAGTGGCTGAGCACCTAGGAGGGGCTTCACAGCCTCTGTTCCCGGGTGACCGGCTGCCAAGAGAGGAGCCCCGGAGCCACTCTGCTCTCCATGATGTGTGGCCCTGAGCAACCCTCTGCACCTCTCTGAGCTCAGTCCTGCAGGGAGTGGGGGTGGTGAGGACGAAGCAAGGCCTGCTCAATGAATGCCAGCTCTTTTGTTCACCAATCCTTCTGTCCATCCATCCACCCTTCCACCTATTATTCATCCATCCATCAACCAGTTTGTGCATCCATCCATCATCTGCCCGTCCTTCCATCCACATCCATCCATTCTCTCCTGAGAGACAGGGGAGCCTCCGTAATCTCTCCTCTGGGGGTGATTCTCCTGTGGGCAATCCCCATTCTTCCAGAGCACTCTGGCCCCCAGTTCTGCACAGGTTCGCTCCTCAGGGCCCTCAGCTGCCCAAGCACAGGTTGATGAACAGAAAAAGGCCCTCAAAAGCTGAGCACACAGGCAGTGAGCTCCTCAGCAATGGAAGCATACAAGCGCAGACTACTACTGAAGACTGCCTGCTCTGTGGGAAGCAGGCCTCCTGTTGGAGGTCCATGTCCCCCTGTGCTCCTGTCTGAGGGGCCCTTGAGCTCGATGGCCCAGGTGCTGTGGTTCCTCCCCTGCCAGGAGCCACAGAGGTCAACCAGAATCCAGCCCAGGCAGGGGACCCAGGGACTTCTGGGAAAAGTGAGTCAGAGCCATCATCCCTTCCCTGCACACTCTGGGCTCACAGACAGCCTGAAATGCCTTTGGCCTGGCCTCTGCCCTGGAGCTCACTGCCTCCCCCAATTCCCAGGCTCTGGGGGACGGCACCTCCAGCAGCTGGGACCACATGTCAAGCCAGTGGAAAAACCCAAGTGGCCCACACTCGGCCTGGCTTCCCAGGAAAGGCAGACTGCCTCTCGTTGGGAAACTGACTATAGGAAGGGAGATGGGGGGGCCCTGGCCAGGGAAGGGCAGGACCCCCACATCCAGGGTGAGCTCTGGCACCAGCTGGCTGCTGTGACCCCTCCATTCTTTAGGGCCTCGACGGGCAGAGCTGGATGGAGCCTTTCCCACCGCAGGCTGATTTCTTTGGGCTACAAAGTCGCTGGGAAAGGCTGTGACTGACCGTAAACCTGTCAGCTATTTGTATGACGCTTCCTATTAAGGAAAGTGACTCCTTCCCATGCTCCGTGTGGTTCCTGCCATTGTTCTTCATGACAAAGGGGTTGCTTTCATCACAAAAGAATTCCCAACTGGTGCCTGGATGCTGGAGGCAAGCCCTTCCTAAATTGGGTTCTGGGAAAATAATAGGGTGCCTGAGGCTGGAGAAAGCTGCCTAACTGTTGCTCATCATAGTGTCCCCCCTGGGGCATTCCCAGCACACTAAGCCAAGTGTAGGATGAGTCCTGCTTCTGAAACCAGCTTCACGCTGGTTAACGTGCCTCCCCAAGTTCCTCTGACCAGGTGTTTCAGGGGTCGTCATAGTTAGTCACAAGCGGTGGCCGTCCTAAATCCCAGTGACTTTGGTCTGGGGCGGGTTGGCGTATCAACCCAGGCCCCTCCCACCTCTCCAACTAGACCTGTGGCCTCGTGGTCCACCATGGCCGGCTGTGCGCCAGCCATCGTGCCTGCATTCCCAGCACTGGGCTGGAGGGTGAACTGAAGAACATGGGACCTCTCCATTGGCCAGGATTTTGACACATGACCAGACATAGCAAGAGAGGCCGAGAAGAATGTGATGGCTTTTGGGGCAAGGCCAAGAGTTCTTGCCCACCAAGCAATTATTTATTTTCCTGTTCCACCAACACTGCTGAAAACAGTTTGGGGCAGATGCTGCCTTGGGCCACGTCAGCACCCCATGATGGAAGCTCTAGCATGTTCCTCTGGGCCATGCCAGCACGCTGCAGTGGAGAGTCTAGCATGTTTGGTGGCCCAGTAGTACCTACAGGATCAGGGACATGGAGACGAGGGGACCACGGAGGTTCTTCCCGGCGGTCCAGCATGTCTGAGCCCCTAGGCTGCTGCAGGACAGTCTTCACTCTTGCCTGCCTCCCCCTTGGACTCCTCCCTGGTTTTCTGAGGCCCTTTAACCCCGTGTCCTGTGCACTCACCTCTACTAACCTAACCTTCTTGTCTATCTCTCCCCTAACCTCCCTGCCCTCGCCCCACCGCCCCTCTCAGGCGGGCCAGGCCATGCTGGCCTTCCAGCGGTACCAGATTGGCGCCGACTCGGCCCTCTTCTCCCAGGACTACACGGACCCCAGCCAGGACTCGGGCGTGCCTTACGCCCCCTACGTGGAGCCCAGCGCCGGGCCGGACCCCGCCGGCATGGGTGGCACCTACCAGCAGCCTGCCAGCGTCTTCGACTCAGAGCCCCAAGGCTACCAGTCGCAGGGCTACTGAGCCACAGTGACCGCCTGCCCTGACCCCCACACCCGTGTTCGTCCCTCTATGCCCAGCCCCCTGCTCCCTCCCAGGCCCCCCTGCCCAGTGCCATGTCAGCCTCAGCTGTGCCACCTAGTCCCAGGTGGGGCAGGGGCAGCAAGGCAGAGAGGCCTGTCTGTGTGTGTATGCACCTGTGTGTGAAGGGGTCTGCCCAGCTGGGGCCTTGGGGGCGGCAAGGGGTACTGGTGTGCTCGTTCATGGCACCACTGTGCATTCCTGAGCACCTCCTGTGTGTCCGGCCCAGGTGGGGAAGGAGACACAAGTGACCCAGAGCAGGAAGGAGAGAGGAGGAGAGGGCACGGATGGCCCCTGAGATCAGAACAGAATGCCGGGAAGGTTTGGTTCGGCTTGGCCTTGGGGTGAGTGCAAACCCCACAGGGCACAGGGGGCTGTCACCTGCAGAGCCCTCTGGATTCTCACAAGATCCTGAGGAGAGCTGGGGGGGCTTCTCCACTCTGTGATAGGTCGGAAACGTTGGCTTGGGGAGGCCAGGGTCACTCGGGCAGCCAGTGGGATTGTGGAGCTGAGCCCAGGGCGCCAGTCTCCTCCGACCACTCAGCTGGGGCGGCTCCTCTTGGGAGCTCCATAAGATACTGACTCCATGACAAGCAAGGCCCCACAGACCCCCCCCAGCAGCCCCTCTTGCCCTTGGCCTCCCTCCTGAGGTGGTGAGCTGAGAGGCCCCCCCACCCGTCTGCCTGTTTCCCTGTGGGTCGCTCTTTGTCCTCCTATCCCATGAAAGCCGGGTCCTGGGAGCTCAGGTCCCACCCCTCCCACCCACCCCATGGTGGCCTTGGAAAAAGAGCAGTGTCTCCTTGTCCAGGCTGGGCACGAGGAGTGCTAACCTGGGGGCTATGGGGCTGAGGAAGCTCAGGAGGAGGGGCTGAACTGGTGTCCCCCACAGGTGCCTAACTCCTGCCCTGATGGCCTTCCCGGTGGCCCCCTGATCTGGGGTCAGCCAGGATGTGGGGGGCGGGGTGGCCAAGGACAGTGAGGCCCTTCCTTGCTCCCAGAGGCCCCTGGGGCTGGCTTGAGCATCTGCATCCCATGTGCCAGCCGGGATGACGTGGGCAGGGAGTCCCTGAGCATCCGAGGCTCGGCGGGGTCATGGCTATGGGGGGAAGGAAGCGGGGGTCCCCAAAGGCACAAAGAGGACAGGAGGTTTCGGGTGGCAGCGCGAGGGCTTCTTGCTCAGGTGGTCTCTGCGTTCAGCCTGGAGGAATGGGGAGACCCAGACTGGGGAAGGTGTGAGAGAGCCGAGGGCCTGTCCCGTCCATCCAGGGTCCGGAAGCCCTTGGGGCTGTGAGCGAGCCCCTGGGGAGACCCCAGGGTTTTCTCCATCCTCTTCTCTCCCAAGAACCCTGAGAGGCAGGGCCTAGCCACGCCCCTGCTCATCTCAGCAGCCAGGCAGTGTGCGCTGGGCGCCTGGACTGCGGGTGGGCATGGTCCCTGCCCTCAAGGGTCACCGAGCAGCTGCCCAGAGTCCACTGCAGGTGACAGAAAGCATGGCTGGGAGGGCACAGCAGTGCAGGCAAGGGATTTGGGAAGCCTCTTACGGGAGCGGGGAGCTGGTGAAGTGAGGGAGCTGGGGAGTGTGTGTCTGAACTCAGTTCGGTTCCGGGCCCAAAGGCAGCAGGGCCTCCCAACAGCCCAGGGGCAGCGCGTCGTGGGTGACCACCCTGTTATGTCTGGGGAAGGGACTCTGTTCCCCAGGTGACCAGGGGGCCGCCGGCTTTAGTAGTGACCTCTGAACCAGATCCCTTTGGGAAGCCAGTGCTGTTTGGGTGGGCATGGCCCATCTCTGGCAGGGAGGCTCTGTGTTCCCCTCTTGCTCACACTCCACTCCCCTTTCCCATGGGCAGGAGGAGCCTCCAGGGTGCTGCTCACCCGCTGCCCCTGGGCACCAGCTAGCTGTGTACAGATCAGGTCCCCTGCAGGCTCCCCTGGCTGCTCCCCTGTCATGGGGCCGTAGGGCAGGGTGCCCATTAGATTCATCCAGTCCCTGCGTGTTTATTACAGGCCCTCTTGCACCCCAACGCCAAGACTAGAAAAGGCTACAAGACCCCCTGCCTCCTTACCAGGAGTGAGGGAAGTACCAACAGATCACCACCTAGATACACCTCCCTATACCTGGCTCCCAACCTGGCTAGCCACTGGCAGGGACCAGTCATGTGGAGACGGACAAGGTTTGGATGGGTCCCAGCGCACCTGACTGGTCTTCTGGAAGGTTAATTGAGGACATGTCCTTGGAGCCTCATGCTCAGAGCCTGTAGCCTGTCTCTTCGCCCTTCCCGCTGCCCTCTCTGCCTCTTCCCTGCTCCCAAGTCTTTCCTGGAAGAAAGGCCCACTGCAGCCTCACCCTGCAGAGTCTGGGTCCCATCCCCACCAAGCACAAGAGGAGGCATGGGACACCTGGGTACCACCCAAGGGCCCTTAACGATGGTGGAGGCTGGGTAGGGTGGGCAGAGATTGGCCCAAGGTCACTGTACAGAGCTGGGGGCTCAGGAGGCAAGTCTCCTTCAATCCTAGACCTCCTTGCCTGGGTACCCCTGCCCAGCTCTGGGTGGGGTGTTGCCATTGAAAGGCCCCTTCCCAGAAGCCAGTATCAGGTCCCCATTCCATTTCCCCTGGTGATTCTGGCCCTCCTAAGACTCTTGAGGGGCCTGGACTTCCCCCATGTAACGAAACCCTTCCACTTGTCACCCCTCGGGGACCCTCCTAACCTAGCCCAAGACCCCTTCGATTCTCCCAGGAGCATTTAGGGGTACATGCCTCCCAAGAGTTTGTGGGAGGATGGACTGGCCAGGCCATCTCCCAGCGCTGCCCCTGAGCTGACATCCCCACCCCCAGGTGCCCATGTCCCTTGCCTGGGTACTCACTCCGGCCACCCCCACCCCCTGCAGCGTTACTGCCTGTGTATAGTATAAATATATATATTTTCTATATATAAGATGTATAATATAAGGCTCCACAAATATATCTGTGTGTGTGCAGTGAAGGGCGCCTCCTCCCGGGCACCCCCCACTCTAGACTCCGCCACCTTGTGCTGTCTCCAGAGTGAATCCAGTGGCAGTGGCCCCCGTGTGTGTGACACTCGTCCATTTGTGGTGAGCCAAGTGAAGGTGGTGACTTCTGGTGACATAATAAAGTGAAGATTCCATTGCCCATGTGTCCTTGTGTTGCTGTGTGAGTGCGGCGTGGACTTGCCTGTTCCCTGAGCCTCCCTTGATCTCGGCCATTTTTGATTTACCCATTGCTCAGTAAAATAGTCATTCTACAGCGTATATTCTTTAAGAAATTAAAGTCATTACATGTGAAGCCTCTCATGCACCTTACACGCGTCACCATCACCATTCCCTGGCTTATGAACCTGACCAGTCTCCCTACGTCCCACTTCCATGCTGTGACATCCATTTGTGTGCAGGACCTGTTTTCAAATTTAGTGACTGAGCTGACATGTTTATCCAGAAGCCTTTAAGTGGCAGAATGAATAAGGCGGGCCAGAGAAGACATGATGCGTTTGCATGATGGTGGGAGGACACTGGAAGTCCCACGGGCACCCAGAAGGACAAACAAGACTGTCTTAGAGAAGGTGGAGCCAGAATGGGCCTTAGAACCAAGCGTGGTGGGGCTTTGTCACACGCTGTTCTGAGGAGGGACGAGTCCCTGGAGACAAGGACACCAGGCTTGGTGAGATAGAGGGGCCACGAAAATGAAAGGAAGAGATGTGTGGCCACGGTGGCTGTCACAAGTAAGCTCACGCCTAACAATGGTGAACATGGCGTAGGCCCAGGCAGCGTTTTGATGTTGGACAGGGGCTGGCTATGGCTTGGAGCCAACTCTAGCTCCCAACAACTGGGCCCTAGCCACTCAACACGACACAGCGGACCCGTCCTTGTCCTGGAAGCAGCGGGGAGAGGGATCTTAAACATACGCTGAGAGGCCCCCCCACCCGTCTGCCTGTTTCC